AAAATCCTGCCTCTCCCCCACTTCACAGGGATTTGGTTGGAGACCTGTTTCTGCAGAGAGGGGCACCTGCCATCCCGTCCCATTTGCCTCTTTAAAACCTGTGCTTGAAGGGTTTGTTTGGGCAGATTTGCAGAAACCCCTTTCCCCTTTCCATGTGATCATTCCTTCCCTTTGCATCTTGAGCCAGAGAGCCAGGTGCGGCTCTTACGCCGAGGGCACAAGGCTGTAGAAAAGGGACAGTATCCTAACTGGGACTAGTGCCCCGGAATGGGTGCTTGGTTGCAAATTCCTGTTCACCTGATAGAAAGAAAGCTTGGGGTGAGGGCTGTGAAATGTATACTTGCAGTCTTGTCATGCGAATGGCTGGGTTTTTAGAACGTTCAGATTTCTTTTCGAGCCTGGTGAGCGCCAGACCAAAACAGCTTTTAAAAAAGAACCACCTTCTGATGCTAAAAATGACTGGCTGAGGCCATTGTCAAGAGCAAAAACAAAACAAAACCCTGGACCCGCTAAAAAAGCTGTCCAGCTGCTTTTAATAGCAAGATGAGCATCTGGCTGGTGGGAAACTGGAGGGTTATAATTTTTTTCTGCTTGAATTCAGATTTTATGGAGTTCACCCAGGGTGAAGGCTGCCGATAAAAAGCAGAAATTGTGCTTCTTTCCCAAGAGAGAGACTGTTTCAGGTATTCAGGTGGGGTAGCCGTGTTGGTCTGAAGCAGTGGAACAAAGTTAGAGTCCGATGGCACCTTTCAGACCGGCAAAGTTTTATTCTTGGTAAAGAAGTACTTCCTTTTATCCATTCTAACCCGACCGCTCAGCAATTTCATGGAGTGCCCACGAGTTCTTGTATTGTGAGAAAGGGAGAAAAGTACCTCTTTCTCTACCTGCTCTTTCCCATGCATAATCTTATAAACCTCAATCATGTCACCCCTCAGTCATCGTTTCTCCAAGCTAAAGAGCCCTAAGCGCTTTAACCTTTCCTCATAGGGAAAGTGTTCCAACCCTTTTATCATTCGAGTTGCCCTTTTCTGCACTTTTCCCAAAGCTATAATATCCTTTTTAAGGTGTGGTGACCAGAACTGCACACAGTATTCCAAATGAGGGTATAAGCTTTGCCGTGCATGCCCAGAATTAAACTTTGTTGGTCTTAAAGGAGCCATTGGACGAAAACTTTGTTTCAGGTATTGAAGTTCTGTGCCATTAAAGAACTCTGCTTGGGTAACAACACGGGGTGGTTCTCGATGCTTTGAGTGGTTAAAAAAAAATGTTGCAAGCACAAATCGTAAATGGCAGAGTCTCTCTTGCACACTTGGCAGCTTATATCTCCTCTGTCTTGACCCCGTTTTCTGAAGCTTGGAGCTTTGGTATGGTGCTGTGCCATGTAGCATGCCTTCGGCTTCCACGTGCTAAGTTCTAAAGGAGTGGCCATGTTTGGTGTGGGGCAGCAAAAACTTTGAGGAGTCACACGGCACCCCCAAGGCCACCAGATTTATCGAGGAACCATTTCTTGTGGCTTGGAGCTCATTCAGTCAGAGCTGACAAAGCGGATCGTGGTCCACGGAAGCCACAAGAAATCTGCTGGCCTTGAAGGCACCACACAACTACTCCTTTCCTAGTTTCGTCACGCCAGTGGTGGTCCTCGACTTCCTCTCCGGTGGGTAGTCTCTCAAGCTGGACTTCCGCTGTGCAAGACCCTCAGGTCGCATTACCTCAGACATCCCTCAGGAGCGACAGAGACAAAGTTTGGGTATTTTGCCATTCGTTTCTACGTAGAATCATAGAGTTGGAAGAGACCTCCAGGGTCATCTAGTCCAACCCCCCTGCACAATGCAGGAAATTCACAAATTACCTCCCCCTCCATACCCCCAGTGACCGCTGTTCCACGCCCAGAAGATGACAAAAAACCTCCAGGATCCCCGGCTAAACTGGCCTGGAGAAAAATTGCTTCCTGACCCCAAAGTGGCGAACAGCATTTCCCTGGGAATGTCAGAAAGGGCCACAAGAACTAAGCACTGAGGCAGTTCCATTGGTTCATGAGGGCTGTTCCGCTGCCCAAGGCCCAGGGGTTGATTGGAGCCGGAGCGCACAGGAGCGGCGCTCTGGGAGTGAGGAGCCCAGGGGGCGGGCACATGACCAAGCCCCGCCCCCTGCTTTCAGCAGCCCACCTAAGGTGCCGGCTTGCCCGTGCCCCCACAGCCGCGGGGCGCACGGGCAAGCCATGGAAGGGGAGGGGTTTAAACTGCCTCCCCTTCCATCTAGGGTGTCAGCTCACCCACGCGCCCCGCAGCCATGGGACGCGTGGGTGAGCCATGGAAGGGCCGGGGGTTTAAACCCCCTTCCCTTCCATCTGGTGCCAGGGGGTGTGGCATATGGAAATAAGTTATGCTAATGAGTCATGTTAACAAGCTCCTGCACCTCTTTTTCTACGAAATGACCCCTGCCGAGGCCAACCAGCTGGTGTCTGCAGCTTTAACGAGGGACAGAGAGTCTTTGGCGTGTTATTTGGGCTCGGGGGCTCTCAGCCTGTGGTTTCGTGACAGGCGGCAGATCTCTCTGCGGTGGAAAAAGTGAGATTCTTCCTTCCGTTTGTGAAATCGAAACGTTTCACTCTTGGTCTTTGCGAGGTGGCTTTGATTGAAAGCCCGCTCCTTGCCTTAATGGCTGCTTTTCGCTAAAAAGATACGGGGGCTGATGCCGTTCCTCCTCCCCCAAAGCTCTTAGCAACAGTGGCATATATTTAACTCCGTAAGGGGGTGTTTTGTGTTCCCTCACACATGAGATAGTGTCCTGATAAGCCCCAGGCAGGCTTACTTTGTGGCTGAATTCTAAGGCCTGACGGCTCTCCGGACTGCCTCAACTCCTATTACTTTGACACGTGTGCTTTCTTACGATCCCCGTCACGTGTGCACGCGCAACAGGAGCTGGAAACGTGGCATCTGGTGCATCGTTGGTTGCTGTAAGCGGCTGGTGCTAAGGACCATGAGACTGCACCCCTGGGGCAGTACACATCTCCTCCCTCACCAACTGGTGGAGACCAAAATCCGGGTTCTTGTTTGCTGCTGTATAGGAGCTGAAAGTGTGGATTGTGCCCAGGAGGGGTTTGGGGGTTTTTTTGGCCTTCTGGTACCACTGGCACTTGGTGTGGGGTCACCCCATGAAATTAATCAGCAATAGATTCTGGTCAGGCAAAACTCAGTGAATGACATAGCTAATTGGGGAAACTGAAACCAGAATTTAATGCAAGCGTATTTTAAGAATCAGATATCAAAGGCATTGCCCAAATGGCAAGGCTGTGGCTCAGGGGCAGAGCATCTGCTTGGCATGCAGAAGGTCCCAGGTTCGAACCCCCGCATCTCCAGTTAGAGGGATCAAGTGGTAGGCGATGTAAAAGACTTCTGCCTGAGACCCTGGAGCGTCACCGCCAGTCAATACTCCCTCTAAGCTGTGGAGTCTTGTGAGCAAAAATTCCACGGTGTGAGCGACTGGCAATAAAGTTGTGAACGAGCAGTTTGGCTACTGCATACATCAGTTTGCTTTGGAGCCCTCTTTCCTCAGCTAAGACAAAAATGTGTGAGCCGGAGGCTAAAAAACTGTGAGCTAGCTCACACTAACTCAGCTTAGAGGGAACACTGCCGCCAGCGTAACCTTGATGGACTGAGAGTCTGATTCGGGATAAGGCAGTTTATGTGTTGGAGAATGGATGTGGCTCAGTGGTAGAGCATCTGCTTGGCACGCAGAAGGTCTGAAGTCCACTTCCCAACATCTCCAGGTAAAGGGATCAGGTAGTTACTGGTGTGGAAGACCCTTCCCCAGGGGTCATTTCATAGAAAAAGAGGTGCAGGAGCTCATTAGCATAACTTATTAGCATACGCCACACCCCCTGGCATCACCGGAAGTGTGTCAGAAGGCAACACCCACTGCTCAGGCTCCACTAGACTGTTTTGGATTGCTAGCTATTGGGGGGGAGTGTAGATCTGTCCTCAAAGAGGAGGGAGAGCTTGTACCTGAATAAAATTTGGTGCCACTGGACTGTTTTGGACTGGGGGGCCGAGGGGGGGGGGCTCTGCAACTTACCTGGCTGCTTCTTGCTCTGCTGGGAGCAGGGGGTGGGGCTTGTTGCATGTGCCCGCTCCCTGGGCTCTTTACTGCCGGAGCTCCGCTCCTGTGCAGGAAATGACCCCTGGCCTTCCCTAAGACCTTGGAGAGCGGCTGCTAATCAGATACCATTTTAATAGAGCAAGGGTCTGACTCTATATGAGACAGCTTCATGTGTTCATGGTGAGCTGATCGCCTTCTCTTGTAGGTAATTTTATTTATTGATTTCACATTACCCTTTTTAACCCGTTTTGAAGCCGTTTTTGATCCGTCATGGAGTAAACCGGTATAGGACTGCCATTTCACACATGGCTTTCCCCTTACAGTAAAGAGCTGGATCTGAAGCGGTTTGCCATTTCAGACTGCACCGCTTTCCCCCCGCCATTTTTCGCCCTTGTGGGCGATCTCCGGTGGGTTTTTTTTTAACATTCACTTTAGAGCGCTATAACGCTATAGCACTATAACAAAACACTCCAGGCATTCCAATGGGGTTGATATAATGCCGTTGCGTTATAGCGCTATAACGCTCTAAAGCCGTTTGGGAACCGTTCCTCTTCCAGATTATATCATCTGTCTGAAATTCCTCATTGATTTTTATCCCGCCCTTCCAGCCTAGGCTGGCTCAGGGCGGCTTACAACAGGATAAAATTCTCCTGATCCATAAAGCACAATTCAGTACCGGCATTCCCTTCCCCGTGAGACTTTCCATTAATCCGATCTGACCTCTGCCCTTCGCAGATCCTCTTGCCCCTGGGGGCCTGACCGAGTGGTTCCTTCTCCGATCAGTTTTCAAGGCTCTTTTCTCACACCGCCCAGTACGTTTGGAACGTCGTTGACACTTTTAGGGAGAAAGAATGATTAACGCTCTGAATGTTTAAACGTTTCTTCCGTTTCTTCCGTGTCAGGATGGCGGCTCCTTGGATCAGGTCCTGAAAAAAGCTGGCAGAATCCCGGAACAGATCCTGGGCAAAGTTAGCATCGCTGTAAGTATGTTGTTTTGGCGTTTGGGAAGCGGAATCCAAACGCAGCTGGTGATGGCAGGTCTAAATCCAGAAGGCAGGCAGATGGTGGGGTTTTTTTTTCCTTCTTAAAGCATGCAGAATGTGATGGGCCTATCTGAGTAGATTTTATATGCATTGTTCTTCCCCCCCTTTTAAAAAGATACTGTTTAGTGTGGCCCAGTTTATATAGGAAGCACAGCCTGTGAATGACCCCGATTTGGCTAGAAGCCTCTGTGTGACTGCAAGGTTGGCGCTGCTGTTACGGCTCGGTTACAGCTCGACCTGACAGTGGCATTCGACACGGTCGACCATGAGGCTCTTTAGCATGGAGAAATGACGGCCGAGGGGTGATATGATTGAGATTTATAAGGTTATGCATGGGATAGAGCAGGCGTAGAAAGAAGAACTTTTCTCCCTTTCTCACAATACAATAACTCGGGCACTCCATGAAATTGCTGATTGGTCCATCAGTTCGGCCTCTGATTTGTGTCCCAGAGCAGGTTTTGCTCTGATTAAGGAGACAGGCTTGTAACTTTAAATGTGCAATCTATGATTTTCATTTCTGCTGATTTTTTTAAAAAATAATAAGCTTTGCTTTGGATTGCAGGTAATAAAAGGTCTCACGTACCTGAGAGAGAAACATAAGATAATGCATAGAGGTAAGAAAGTTTTGGTTTCCATTAATTGAGTGTATTAGAATTGGTAGTGGTCATCTGCAATGCTCCCTCTAAGCTGTGGAGTCCTGTGAGCAAAAATTCTGCTTTGTGAGCTACTGGCATTAAAGTTGTGAGCGAGCGATCTGGCTACTGCATAAATTAGCTTGCTCTGGAGTCCTCCCTTCCTGAGCTAAGATAAAAATGTGTGAGCCGGAGGCTAAAAAACTGTGAGCTAGCTCACACTAACTCAGCTTGGAGGGATCACTGGTCATCTGTATATTGTATATAGACATTAGCGTGGTTAATGGTACTCACATTTTTGTCCTGTGGAGATAGATCAAGATGGGTCGCTCAGCAGGGCTCTTTTTGAAACTCTCGATCTGGGGCAAGGGATGCTCTGTCTTCTTGGTGCTTGGGGGGGGGGGGGCAACAGTGGGAGGGGGCTCCTAGTGTCCTGGCCCCACTGCTGGACCTCCTGATGGCCCCTGGTATTTTTGGCCCCTGTGTGACTCAGAGTGTTGAACTGGATGGGCCACTGGCCTGATCCAACATTGGCTTCTCTTATGTTCTTAAACTCGTTTGGCTCCCCCCTCCCCAAGCCAGCTCACCACCATGAGCCGCTGGCCCTCCGCAGTCAGATAACGGCGAGGCAGGCGCTTGTCTCGGCACGACGTCTTCCCAGCTCCCTTGGAGCAAAGTCCTCCGCGGCGCTCGCCCACCCCGAAGAGCTGTTTTAAAGAGTTGATCGTCTAAGGGAGGGTTAGCATTTCCCCGCTTCCTCCTGTCGGCCATTATCGGGTGTTTGGGCAGAGGAAATCAATAAAAACCAGGGGCGGGGAAGCGAGCGAGCGAGAGCCAACGAACAGGGGACCAGACGGCTTGTCTAGGAAAGAGCTTGGAGAGTCGGTCGGCTTGCTGGAAGCGGGTTATTAATGGACGCTCTCCGCGCGGCCAGTCTTAGAACTTTAAGCCTTCCTTCCCCTGGAGATTTGCCTTCAGTGCTCGTGTTTCTGGGGCGACGTGCCGCCTTGCTACAAACACTCCAAACGCCCGCAACGCGATCACTCCCCAGTTGCAGGGCTTCTCTTCCTTCCGGCTGTCCTCGAGCCGAGCGCTGCCTAAAATTCAAAACGCCATATGAGCGCTACAGTGAATGACAATCGGCCTTTCCCCTGGCACTTGTGGAAACCACTCAGGTTCTGGCTTCCGCTGGGAAGACGAGGGATATCTGCCAGGCTTTCTGCTACCGCTCGGCTGCTCGTGTCCCTGAGGAGTTGTTCAGCAGTTCCCCAGAAACGGATGATTTAGGGACGGGATTCCCAGCTTTTGCAGCTGCTTGAGGCTAACGGAAGGGTGCAACTTGATGGCAGGAGTTCCTCCAGCTGCTCGCCGAGTGTCCCAGGAGGGGATTTTCGCCCAAAGTTGCCTCTGAGAGAGAGGTGACGGAGAGGTGGGCTTCCTGGCCCTTGCGTGCATAAATAAGTCCCGTTGCAAGAATGGGTTAGTGCCAGGCTCCCTAGTCAGGTCACACCACACAGGGCTTCAGAAGAAGATAACCGTTTATTAGTGGTTCCAGTACTAAAGAACACGTGTACAGTTTGTGTCAGGAATGGCCTTCAGTATAAGGGCCTCTGACTTATAGTGAAGTCAAACATCCCCCCCCCCATGAGCTTAAGCCAATGGATATAGTTCGCGCGCGCAGCAAAGCAAGCGGGCAGAGCAATCAAGCCGTTAAGTTTCCCAGCCGTGGAGGGAACATCTGCAAGGTCAAGCGTAAGATAGCACACAGTGGCAGGGCAGGGGAGAGCTGAGAACGAGAAGGAGGATACCCCTCCATATTCCAGATCTATGACAGGGCTACCTGACAGTCAGTTCTGCTTGCTGGCATCTGGCTAACGAACTGCACAGCCTTTGAGGCTACGCTGGCTCGCTCTACAGCTGCAGAACACCAAGGGGTGGGGTGCTAATATTTCATGCAAAGAAGGCTACCGATGCCATGTGGCCATTGTAACATGAGGCAAAGGGGGGGGGGGGGAGCGCCGCTCACCTCTTCCTGGAACCTCCGGGGATGGTCTACACTTGATGTGTACCAGATGGAAATGCTTGGCAAACCTGTCCATGTCTTGACAGTAGTATGTACAGAAAGGATCTAAGGGTCTAAAGTGGACCATTGATATGCACACAGTGTGATTGATTTGGTATAATGGGACAGTTATAGCATACCGGCAGTGCTGACACGTTACGTTATCTTGTGGGCATTGCATTTAATGAGTTTATGGTGCCTTGGAGATCTCAGAAGCAGGGTCGGCCCTGGTTAGCACTTGGATTGGAGACGTCCAAGGAATACCAGGGTCGTGGCCCAGAGGCGGGCAATCGCCAATCACCTCTGAATGTTTCTTGCCTTGAAAACCCTTCAGGGTCTTCATCAGTTGATCTGTGTGCATATATATGTATATACATAACAGTCTTTATGAATTCATTCAGGTAAATAGCCATGTTGGTCTGAAGGGGCAGAGCAAAGTTTGAGTCCAGCCGGGCACTTTCGAGACCAACGAAGTTTAATTCTGGATATCCGCTTTCGTGTGCGTGCCCACTTCTTCAGGTTCTCTCACGAGCAGTCCTCGAAAGATCTCTCTCAGCCCCACTTACCTCACAGGGTGTCTGTTGTGGGGAGGGGAAGGGAAAGGAGTTTGTAAGCCGCTCTGAGACACCTTCGGGTAGCGAAATACAGGGTATAAATCCAATCTCCTCCTCCTCCTCTTCTTCACCAGTTTGGTGTACTGGTTAAGTGCTCGGACTCTAATCTGGGAGAACCGGGTTTGATTCCCCACTCCTCCTCCACTTGCACCTGGCTGGATGGCCTTGGGCAAGCCATAGTTGTGACAAGAGCTGTTCTTGAAAAAAGAGCAGTTTCTGTCAAGAGCTCTCTCAACCTCACCTACCTCACAGGGTGCCTGTTGTGCGGAGGGGAAGAGAAAGGAGTTTGTAAGCCGCTCTGAGACACCTTTGGGGAGTGAAGGGCCATGGGGTATAAATCCAATCTCCTCCTCCTCATCCTCCTTTCCAGAGTCCCCTATCACATCAGGCTCACAAAGAGGATTCTAGACAGTGGAAGGAGGTGTGAGCCTTCCCCTTCCCACCTCCGCCACCCGAAGAAAACTCTGAACGAAGAAGAAATTGGATTTATACCCTGCCCTTCACTACTCAAAGGAGTCTCAGAGCAGCTCACGATCTTCCTTTCCCTTCCCCTCCCCACAACAGGCACCCTGTGAGGCAGGTGGGGCTGAGAGAGCTCTTTCAAGGACTGCCCTTGAGAGAACAGCTCTGAGAGAACTTGTGACTGGCCCAAGGTCACGCCAGCAGCCGCAAGTGGAGGCGTGGGGAGACTCAAACCCGGTTCTTCCCTGGGGCATCTCCCAGATTAGAGTCTGCGCTCCTAACCACGACACCAAACTGGCTCTCCTGTGTGTGGCAGTTTCTCCTAGGTTCCTTGACCTCTGCCCCACATTGTGTGAGCCTTTTCCCCCGTGTTCAGCGGCTGGTTACCTAATAAGTCTGAGCGCATCGCTAATGGCTGCAGAAGAGCTCCGTTCCGCCGCATGGCATCCTACACCACCAGCACTAAAGCCGGAAAGAATGGCTCCTGGCGCTTGAGCATTCACAAAGAGTCAGTTTCCAGTTGCCTAGTTACCGGTGGCCTTCGTTTAAGAAAGCAGCACTGCTGTACATAGAAGAAGAAGAGATTGGATTTATACCCCACCCTTCACTACCCGAAGGAGTCTCAGAGCGGCTTACAAACTCCTTTCCCTTCCCCTCCCCACAACAGACACCCTGTGAGCAATGTTCCCTCTAAGCTGTGGAGTCTTGTGAGCAAAAATTCTATTTTGTGAGCTACTAGCATTAAAGTTGTAAGCGAGCAATTCAGCTGTTTAGTTTGCTCTGGAGCCCTCCTTCCTGAGCAGAAACAAAAATGTGTGAGCCGGAGGCTCAAAAACTGTGAGCTGGCTCACACTAACTCAGCTTAGAGGGAACACTGCCTGTGAGGCAGGTGGGGCTGAGAGAGCTCTTCACAGAAACTGCTCTTTTTCAAGAACAGCTCTTATCAGAACTACGGCTTACCCAAGGTCATCCAGCCAGGTGCAAGTGAAGGAGGAGTGGGGAATCAAACCCTGTTCTCCCAGATTAAGGTCCGCGCACTTCACCACTACACCAAACTGGTACATATTCATGCATCGTGGCTTGTCAGACAGCCGTGTTTTCTCCACTGATTCTTTGCAGTGACAAAAAATAAAATGAACTGAAAGACCCTTCATCGGACACCTTCTGTTCACCTAGCAACGCTGAACAATTCCAGAGAACACAGGAAGAGCCAGTTTGGTGTAGGGGTTAGGAGCGCGGACTCTAATCTGGGAGAACCGGGTTTGATTCCCCACTCCTCCACATGCAGCTGCTGGTGTGACCTTGGGTCAGTCACGTTCTCTCAGAGCTGTTCCTGTTAGAGCTCTCTCAGCCCCACCTACCTCACAGGGTGTCTGTTGTGGGGAGGGGAAGGGAAAGGAGATGGTAAGCCGCTCTGAGACTCCTTTGGGTAATAAAAGGTAGGGTATAAATCCAATCTCCTCCTCCTCCACCACCTCGTCTTCTTCTCCTTCATCAGAAGTTTGGTCTCAAGGTTAGGATTGTCTCGTCTGAGTAGGAGCAGATCTCCCGGGTCTCAGGCAGAGGTCTTTAACATCACCTGCTACTTATTCCTTTTAGCTGGAGATGCCGGGGATTGAACCTGGGACCTTCTGCATGCCAAGCAGAGGCTCTTCCACTAAGCCGTGAACCCTCCCTAAAAGAAGCTGCATTATCCTGATCAGCCTCAGTCTTGTCTACTCTGACTGGCAGAGGCTCTCCAAGGTCTCAGGCAGAGGTTTTTCACATCATCTACTTCCTGATCCTTTTTAACTGGAGATTCCGGGGACTGGACCTGTGGCCCTCTGAATGCCAAGTGAGAGCTCTTCCACTGGGCCAGGGGGTCCAGTTGGATCCAGCAGCAGCCATTTCCAAACCCTGATGGCCCGCAGAGGCTATTGATTGTTGGGTGTCAAGAATCATAGCGTTGGAAGGGACCTCCAGGGTTATCTAGTCCACCCCCGTGCACAATGCAGGAAATTCACAAATGCCTCCCCCCAAACACCCCCAGTGACCCCTGATCCATGTCCAGAAGATGGCAAAAAAATCCCTCCAGGATCCCCGGCCCAACTGGCCTGGAGAAAAACTGCTTCCTGACCCCAAAGTGGCCACGAGAACGAAGCACGGAGGCAACCCTTCCTGCCCTCCCTTCTTGTGATCTGTCTAAGTTCACAGACAATCTAGTTCAATTGATCGTCTCACGCAAAAGCCATCTCTTCTTTAAGGGACAAATCTGTCTCTCTGACTCTGTCAGGCCTTTATCGACTTCTGTCTGTTTGCACCAGTTCCAGTAAACGGTACTAATCTATCGATGGAACAGTGGGACTGGAATGTGCCTAAAGCAGCTCTGTTGGATCTAGACGTGCCAGTGTTTCCCTTTAATTCCCATGCTTCCAGTTGAGAAGAATTTGGGGGGAGATCTGTGAGCGGCACTGTGGTATAAAGGGCTAGCATGTTTGGACAGGGGTTACTCCATCAGACCAAGTGTGGACCACCCGTGCCTATTCAAGGAGACTAAGCCCTGCTTTGTACTAAGCAGGGAGACACAACTTTTGCCCTGCTTTGTACTAGGGCCAGGGCTTTCTCGTTTGTAGCTCTGTCCTATTGGTACGAGCTTCCTGCCAAGATGAGGGCCCTGCGGGACCTTTCACAGTTCCGCAGGGCCGTGAAAACAGAGCTCTTTAGGCAGGCGTTCCGCTAGGAGCGGCGTCTTACCAGCAGCGCCGTGTGAACGCCGACTCAGCATGACCTAGCGCGGTGGCACCGCTGAGAGTGTCCTTAAACTGCGCTTTATTTCTATCGCTATCAAAATTATGTTTTTAATTGATTTGTCTTTGTTTTAAATGATTGATTGCATTTTATCATTTTTCCCCAAAAAACAATTTATTAGGATATAATAAAAGTCAAACTCAAAAATTATATTGTTGTGCATCCTTTTTCTCCTTTCTCCCACCCCTTATCGGCTTCCCACAGTGTTCCAACCTCCAGCCCAATTCTTAAAGTTTCTTCCCACCTCTCTGTTTTGCTATATATCTACCGGTAACTTATCTTTTCACTGTTGTTTTTAATATATTTATCTACTAACTTTCAATAGTTATCAAAGCAGAATAAATTGTTCTTTAAGTCCCAATATTTCTCTAAATATTCTTTAAAGTCTTTCCAATCTGCAAAAAATTCTTCAGCCTCCAAGTTTTTAAGTTTTTTTGTCATTTTGTCCATTTCAACCATAAAAAGCAATTTCTTTATCCATTCCTCAATTTCAGGGACCTTCTCTTGTTTCCAACATTGAGCACAAGTCATTCTGGCAGTTGTGATCATATACCACATCAATGTTCTTTTTGCCATATTGACTTCTTCCATTTTGAGTCTCAAAAGCAATATTTCCAGCTCTTACATTTTATCATTTGTAAACTGTATATTGTTTATCAGTTTTGTGGAAGCCGCCCTGAGCCCGCCTCGGCGGGGAGGGCGGGGTAAAAGTTAAAGTAATCAATAAATAAATAGAATGCAAGCTGCTTAAAGCCCGTAAATGCTGAGGGCACAACGCCGTTGTTTGCAAATACTGATGTCACGGAGACTTAAGAACCCTTCCATCTCTTCTGTATGTGAAATTATGTGTTATGCTAATAAAGGTTATTGGAATTGGAAATGATGCGAAATCACTAGTTTGTTCTGCAGGACTACCCAAAGAAAAGGATGCACTGAGAAGCAAAAGGGAAACCTGGTGTGTGCGCGTGCCTGTTTAATTTTGTGACTGGCTCCCCCCCTCCAATTTTCATTCCTAACGATGCCCATCTCTTTATATCTCATCCGCTCTCTTTTCCCCTTAGATGTTAAGCCTTCCAACATTTTGGTAAACTCCAGAGGGGAGATCAAGCTTTGCGATTTCGGCGTCAGCGGGCAACTGATCGATTCCATGGCCAACTCCTTCGTGGGCACCCGGTCGTACATGTCTGTAAGTGTGTGTGTGTGTGTGTGTGTGTGTGTGTGTGTGTGTGTGTGTAAAAGCTTTGTGTTTGTACTGTGACGGTCCAGCTTGGACCACGTTGCAAAGCACCTTCTGCAGGGAGCCCCTCTGTGGAGGAAGCCGCAAACCATCGTATTGACCTTTCATGTTTGACAAGTGTGTTCCTGTGCCACAACGAGCATGCACGATGCCACTTAGGCGCAGGCTTTATGTATTTATGGAGAGCGTTTATTCGCCACCTTTCTCCAATAAAAACAACAGTCACAAAACCCCACTAAAAAGTCACACTTTTAAAAGTTCAGGTGGGACTGCCCATAAGTAAAAACTAAATCAATCAAGTGCGGTCCTAAATAGAGCTGACTTCAGCTGTGTCACGGTAGAGCCAGGGAGTCAGGCTGGGAGGGTGGGTCACAAGACACGTCCGAGGGTCAGCCGGGAGAGCAGTCAGCAGAGCGTTAAACAAGTCTCAAAACGCCAGACACAGCCGTAGTCAAACGTTACCAGAGGTCAGAGTACAGGGAGCAAAGCCGAGGGCGTGGTCAGATTCAAAGCTGGGAGTCAGGAGCCAGAGCAGAAGTCCAAAAACACAAGCCGAGTCCAAAAAGCCACAGAATCAAACAGGAATCAAGGTGCAGAGCTTCTGGTTCCACGAACAAGGTTGCCAGCACAAAGTGCTCATGGCCAGAGGCCCTACTAAATAGTGCTCTGGCTCATTAACCCATTAGCCCCTTTGTGCGAGGTCCTGGCTGCTGTTAAAACTCAGGGCTCAAGGATCTCCGCCCTCTTGAACGTGCTTCTTTTCATGGGCTAGCCAGATCCTGACGTCTCCTATCCCTAAGCCGGCTTACAGGTGGGGGAGATGCAGGTGATGAGCTGCTTATGGCCTGCTCAATCCCACGTGGCTCAGATTGCTGTGTATCCTCCTCCGTACTTACAGTAGGTGCAGATCCTGATGCTTCTCCAGCTCTTAAAGGCACGGAATCCTCTCCTCTTAGGCTGTCAGGAGCTGGCTCTGGGGCTGAGTCAAGGGCAGGCATGACAAGCTGCCTCCCGAAGCAGCCCCACCTGCCTGGGGAGGTTATTCCATGATTGTGGGGCTGCCACTGAAAAGGCCCTCTCTCGTGTGCCCCTCAAACAAGCTTCTTTGATTGGCGGGACAGCTGTGTGGGCCTCTCCCTGCTGTCTTCCTTCCCAGGCAGGCTGCTTGTGTAAGGTGCAAAGCTCTTCAGCCCTTAGAACGTTTTGTCAGTCTGTCAGGGGCTACTTGCCATGGTGGCTGAGGGGAACTTCTGCATTCAGAGACACTAAGCCTCTGAATCCCAGAGCCAGGATGCAACCTTGGGGAAGGCCTCGGCCTCTCTGCCCTGTTGCTGGCCCTCCAGAGGAACGGGTTGGCCGCTGGGTGAGACAGGATGCTGGACTAGGTGGACCCTCACTGGTCTGATCCAGCAGGGCTCTTCTGATGTTCTTCTCAAGGGAAGGCCTCAGCCTCCATGCCCTGTTGTTGGCCCTCCGGAGGAACTGGTTGGCCTCTGTGTGAGATAGTGTGCTGGACTAGGTGGACCCTCACCGGTCTGACCCAGCAGGGCTCTCCTGATGTTCTCATCAGGGGAAGGCCTCAGCCTCTATGCCAGCCTCCAGAGGAACTGTTTGGCTACTGTGTGAGACGGGATGCTGGACTAAATGGACCACTGGTCTGACCCAGCAGGGCTCTTCTGATGTTCCTATGGCAGATACTTGTTGGAATTAAACTTTGCCAGGAATCTGTGCTCTGTGAACGTCATGTGATGGTCAGGGGCTGGGGAGAGAAGAGGTTAAATCAGAACCCTTCTGCTCCCGCCCCCTTGCCTCTGAACCCCCTCTGCCTTTGGCTGTGTGTTTCCAGCTCTGTTTCAGTCGTCGCCAGCAAAGGTAGCAGGTGTCCAAGCTCTATAGAGTCTCCAAATCTCCTGTGGCACCAAAGTTAAACAGATGGCCTGCCTTGGAGCTGATAGATGGGGGGTTCCAGGAATTAAGAATTAAAGTTGGCCCTTTTCTTTAGTGTTTATAGCGTCATTAACAGCTCCACATTCCTGAAGGTTTCCCGGCCTTGCAGTTTCCTAGGCATCAGGCACGGCAAAATAAGAAAGCAGCCTACAGATGAATGCCTTTGTGGGATCAAATTTCCATCGTGGGTCCCTGGCCCAGATCCGTTCGGCCACCTGTTATTTAACATGGCGTTTGCTTTTGTCATTTTGTGCACGCAGCCCGAGAGATTACAAGGGACTCACTATTCAGTACAGTCGGACATCTGGAGCATGGGGCTCTCTCTGGTGGAGATGGCCATCGGCAGGTACCCGATCCCTCCACCGGATTCGAAGGAGCTGGAGCTCATGTTTGGCTGCCCCATTGGGGGCGACTCGCCCGTCTCGGAGACATCACCCAGGCTAAGAACACCGGGCCGGCCAACGAGCGGTAAGGAAATGGGCTGGAAATGGCCGGCCAGGTCAGATATCTTATTGGAGAAATAGGTGGGCTGATGGCAGAGGTAGGCCAACTGTTGTGTTTCCTTGAGCCCCTCGTGGAGAAGTCTGGAGAGCTTCAGGGGCAGCCACGTTGGTCCGCAATACAACAGTTAGACTCGAGAGTCCAGTAGAGACCATTAGAGACCAACACGAGTTTTGGGGTATAAGCTTTCGAGAGTCAAAGTTCTTCAAATACCTGATGAAGGGAGCTTGGACTCTTGAAAGCTTATACCCCAAAAATCTTGTGGGTGGCCCTGACCTGAAAAGCCCAGGCCAAGCCTGATCTTGTCAGATCTTGGAAGCTGTGCAGGGTTGACTCTGGCAAATACTTGGATGGGAGACCTCCTTGGAATACCAGCAGTCGGGAGGTGGGGGCAGGCTTTATTTAGCCACCTCTCTGAATATCCTCCAGTATGGGGTCAGTCACCAGAGGTCGCCATGATTTCCAGGGGCGCGCACACTCACATGCACACGCAGACGAAAAATGAACATAAGAACATAAGAGGCGCCAATGTTGGATCAGGCCAAAGGCCCATCCAGTCCAACACTCTGTGTCACACAGTGGCCAGAAATAATCTTGTGGGTGTACTGGCCCAGTCCTCCCAGGTCATGGCAAAGATGGCAGAGAGAGAGGGTAAGAGTCCAGTCCAAAGTCAGAGGTTCCAGAGACCAGGTTAAACAAAGTCCAGTCCAGGGTCACTGGTTGTCTGGTCCAGTTCAAGGTTGCAGAGGTCCAGTAACAGCAAGGTTGGTGGCTCAGTAGCAAAGTGTACTTGTTGCATCCCCAAACTGCTGTTTCTTCCGGCTGACTTTATAGCCAAGTCTTAACATGCTACACTTCCAACCAATTCCTTGGCAGCCATCCTGAAACTACTCATCCATCTTGTCAGTTGACAGCTAATGATGGGCCATGAGTCTTGCACTCCTCCTTTCCTGCAACTCAGCTCGCCTCTGACAATGTCGGCGCAGCAAGGGTGTGGGTGCGCTAGGTGGGCTGGGAGTGGCTTCCGAAGCCTTGTTTATTGCTTCAGAGCTACCAGGCCTTGGCTCAGTTTCAGCTGTAGGCTATGACTTCTGCTCAGCCAGTAACCTGACTGCTCTCCTCCTGGCTCAGAGCCAGCTGCAGCCGGTTGTTCAATGACTGGCTGAGGGGCAGCTGCAAGTAGCTCTTTGTCTGCAGAATCTGTGCTGTCACTCAGCACAGACTGACTTACGGCTGTGGGTCTCTAAGGCGCTACTGGACTCGAATCTAGTTCTGGCGAGCTTGAAATCCCATGATTTTTGAGCTTACTTAGGAGCCTTTGATGAGGAACTTTATCAAAAGCTTTCTGGAAGTCAAGGTAAACAATATCTTCTGAAGCCTTGTTTATTGCTTCAGAGCTACCAGGCCTTGGCTCAGTTTCAGCTGTAGGCTATGACTTCTGCTCAGCCAGTAACCTGACTGCTCTCCTCCTGACTCAGAGCCAGCTGCAGCCGGTTGTTCAATGACTGGCTGAGGGCCAGCTGCAGGTAGCTCTTTGTCTGTGGAATCTGTGCTGTCACTCAGCACAGACTGACTTACGGCTGTGGTTCTCTAAGGCGCTACTGGACTCGAATCTAGTTCTGGCGAGCTTGAAATTAAAGGAAAGATATGCTCCCCATCAGTTTGAGAGGACAGCCGTGTTGGTGTGCAGTATAAGAGCTAGATTCGAGTCCAGTTGTCCCTTAAGAGACCCAAAAGATTTTCAGGGGATGAGTTTTCAAGACTCTGATGAATGGGGTGCTGGCTCTCGAAAGTTCATTCCCCGAAAATCCTGTTGGCCTCTAAGGTACTACTAGACACAAATCTAGGTCCGAGAATGGAAAGGGTAGATTGGGAGGAAATTCCGGATTGCAACAAGGACTCATACGGTATGACCCTACCAGCAGCAACGGAGAGGTTTTCAGTTTCACCTCCTTGCTTTCTGTGCACCCGAGATTCTGTTACCTCGACTGAGCATCTTCATTCCGTACTGGTTCTGTATATTTCTTTCCTTGGGGGTACAGTGTCCAGCAACACCCATCCCCCTATGGAAGTCCATTTCTGTGGAGCCCCACGGTACCATCTCGGGTCTGCTTGGGAAATAGTTCTTCTGCCCTGGGGGGGTGGCTCTTTGCAGGAGAGTTGGAGAGGGCCCTTGTCTGTCAGTGGGTCTCCGAAAAAGCTCAGAAGCTTTTTTAAAAGCAGCCATTTGTATGTCCAGAAAGAACAACTTGGGGAGGAATTCGGTGCTGCTCGTGCTCTCATGAGGCCCCTTGCCCAAGAGGGCAAGAGCGACTGGCGTTTCCCCTTAAGAGCAGCAAAGGCCAAATTTGTATCCTTCTGCCAAAGGGATTCTTTCCAGCTGGTGGGGGGGGGAACCTCTTTCCCAACCTCTTTTCTGATTTCCCTCCAGTGTTCCCTGTAACCTGAGTCAGTGTGAGCTAGCTCGGTTTTTTAGCCTCTGGCTCACACATGTTTTTCTTGACTACGAAGGGTGGCTCCAGAGCACACTAATTTGGTGTAGTGGCTAAGTGCGCGGACTCTAATCTGGGAGAAACCGGTTTGATTCCCCCACTCCTCCACTTGCGCCTGGCTGGATGACCTTGGGCAAGCCATAGTTCTGATAAGAGCTGTTCTTGAAAAAGAGCCGTTTCTGTCAGAGTTCTCTCGGCCCCACCTACCTCACAGGGTGTCTGTTGTGGGGAGGGGAAGGGAAAGGTGTTTGTAAGCCACTCTGAGACTCCTTTGGGTAGTGAAGGGCAGGGTATAAATCCAATCTTTTCTCAGAGCCAGTTTGGTGTAGTGGTTAAGCGCACGGACTCTAATCTGGGAGAACCGGGTTTGATTCCCCACTTCTCCACTTGCACCTGGCTGGATGACCGTGGGCAAGCTGTAGCTCTGATAAGAGCTGTCCTTGAAAAAGAGCCGTTTCTGTCAAGAGCTCTCTCAGCCCCACCTTCCTCACAAGGGTGTCTGTTGTGGGGAGGGGAAGGGAAAGGAGTTTGTAAGCCGCTCTGGGACTCCCTTGGGTAGTGAAGGGCAGGGTATGAATCCAATCTCCTCCTCTTCTTCTAATTTATGCAGTAGCCAAATGGCTCGCTCAGAACTTTAACGCCAGTCGCTCACAAAGTAGAATTTTTGCTCACAAGTCTCGACCGCTTAGAGGCAGCCTCGTTTCCCTCGCTGCTCACCTGGGCAGCAGTGTTATCTGGCCACTGCCGTAGGGCCAGGAAGCGGTTCAAGTTTTGTTTTTTTAAAAGCAGTAATTATTTTTAAAAGCTCCAAGGTGGTTTCATAAGCAGTTTTAACCAAATAACAGCTGGGCTTCATAAGGATATATAAATACCTGCCTTAAGAGGGGGGGCAACGATAAAGCTTACTGAAAAGCTACAAATGGAACTGAGCCTCCTTGCTGACGTCCGCCCTGTGTCTTTCCAGCCTACGGCTCTGACACCCGGCCGCCGATGGCCATCTTCGAACTCCTCGACTACATTGTCAACGAGGTAAGCTGACCAGAGTGCTTCCGCGTCGCGTCTCCTGCCTCTTGGGAAGCGGACTTTTTATACGTGCCCGTTGATTGGAAGGAGGTTCATTCTTTTCCTAGCCTCCGAAGCAGGATCTTTTCCTGAATCTCAGGTGCAAATTAGCCCCAGTTGCCGCCCAGTGTAGAATGAAGCTGCGTCTGCAGCCAAGCCTCGCTTCAAAAAGGGTGTGGGCGAAATCGAGAGAGGGTGCAGAAGAGAGCGAGGAGGATGATCAGGGGTCTGGAGACCGAGCCCTACGAGGAAAGGCTGAGGGCCTTGGGGGTGTTTAGTTTGGAGAAGAGGAGATGGGGGGGGGGGGACACGATTGCTCTCTCTTTAAATATTTGAAAGGCTGTTCCAGTCGGTAGAAGTGGGGGGGGCCCGAAGCAACGGGTTTAAACGACATGCAGAAAGGTATCGGCTGGAGATTAGGAAAAACTTTTTCACCGTCAGGGTGTTCCAAAGGTGGAATCAGCTGCCGAGGGAGGTGGTGAGCTCCCCTTCACCGACAGCTTTTAAGAAGAGGCTGGGCGAATATCTGTCAGGGATGCTCTAGGCTGGTCCTGCATTGGACAGGGGGTTGGACCAGATGGCCTGTATGGCCCCTTTCCAACTCTATGATTCTATGAAAGCCATACTTTAGAATCCATAAGACTCAGACACATACTGTCAGGGAGGAAGTTCCCTACAGGACATTCCAGATAATTCCTTCCAGTCCCAAACACGGCAGCCACGTAGATCTTGACCGATTCCGTCATGCTCGGTTGTGCCCGGGAACCTTCAGGCGTGGCCGTCTCCCACACCAGAAAGCGAGGAAATAGCTCTGCCCTTTTAAAAAAAAATTACTTTTATGTATTTACTTCATTCGTACCTGGCCTTTCCCCCCAATGGGGACCCAAAGTGGCTCACTCTGTTCTCCTCTCTGCCATTCTATCCTCACAACAGCCCTGTGGGGAAGGCCAGGGTGAGAGTGACTGGCCCAAGGTCACCCGGCAGTCTTCCTTGGCACGACTGGGGATTCGAACCCGGGCCCCCCAGATACTAGTCCAGATCCTGAAGAGTTGGCCGTGTTAGTCTGTTGCTCCAAAAATATTTTAAAAGCCCAGTGGCACTTTTAAGACAAGTGTTTGCATCGTAGCGTAAGAACAAATTTAGAGTCCCGTGGCACCTTTAAGACCAACAAAGGTTTATTGAGCTTTCGTGTGCAGGCACACTTCTTCAAATACATTGGAATGGGAAGGGAAGGTTGAAACTTATAGCCAGAGAATGAACAGCAGATTATCCTCTGTATTTTAGTGTATTTCTTTTGCAGAAAGTGGCTCAAGTGGTTAAGACGCTGAACTGCAGGCTGTGGAAGGTCAGTAGTTCGAGACCCGGGTGCCGCAAGACGGAGTGAGCTCCCGTCTGTAGTTCCAGCTCCTGCCAACCTAGCAGTTCGAAAGCAAGACATTGCAAGTAGATAAATAGGGACCACTTCGGTGGGAAGGTAACAGCGTTCCGTGCGCCTTGGTGTTTAGTTACGCCGGCCACATGACCACGGAAAAGTCTTCGGACAGCGCTGGCTCTTCGGCTTTGAAACGGAGATGAGCACCGCAACCCTAGAGTCGGACTCGACTGGCTTTCGAGCAAGGGAACCTTTACCTTTTACTTTTGAAGAACAGTATATTATATAATCCTGAATGTAATGCAAGGGATATTGGGTTGTTTGATGGGAACTTAGGGTCAAGTGCCCTCCGTGCCTGAGGGGAGAGAATGAAGATTTCCAGCCACTTCCCACAATTGGAAAAGACACCTTTAGACATCCATCTGCTAGTTTGGCATATCTATTGCTTTACAATTGTTGACCTTATAACCTTGTTATTTAGTGTCACTTTGCATAACTTGAACATCATCAAGTTAATGTTAATTTGCTGTTCATGCTCCGGCTAGAAGTTTGGACCTTCCCTGCCATTCTAATGTATTTGAAAAAGTGTTGCATGCACACGAGAGCTCCCACCTTGAATAAACCTTTGTGGGTCTTAAAGGTGCCGCTGGACTCTCAATTTATTCTACTGCTTCAAACCAACGCAGCTGACCGCCTGGATCTATCGTAGCATAAGCTTTCGCAGCTCTCTTCATCAGATGCCTCTCCATGCGTCTGACAAAGAGAGCTCTGTGTGTCTCAAAAGCTTATGCCACAATACAGTTTGTTAGTCTTAAAAGTGCTACTGGGCTCTTTACCCCAAGACCGCACACAACCAGTGGGCCGAAAGTCGTCCACCCCTGCTTTAATGGCTAAGAAACGGCTCTTCTAGAACTGTGTGGAATTCTGTTTCCCTGTGCCTCGTTACTTGGGCGCATATTCACAGGTTCACCTTTGATCTTTTAGGCCAGTGGTGGCGAACCTATGGCACGGGTGCCAGAGGTGGCACTCAGAGCCCTCTCTGTGGGCACGCGTGCCATCGCCCCAGCCAGGCCCAGACCATCATTAAAGTGTCGAATTCTCTGCCAAATAATTTTCAGTCAATGAAAGCATTTGGGATTGCTTCCCTTACTTTGTTTGGATCATCTTAAGTTAATGTTATGAGTTGTTTTTCCTAAAGTAAAACCTCAGTATTCAGGTTAAATTTGCCGTGTTGGCACTTTGCGATAAATAAGTGTGTTTTGGGTCGCAGCTTGGGCACTCGGTCTCTAAAAGGTTCGCCTTCACTGTTTTAGGCGCTTCAAGCGATGAGTCACAGTGGCGTTTTTCTCCAACATGCTACGTCTAAGGACGTTAAAATAAAACCGCGTTTCAGACTCCTGCCGCCGACCTGTGGCCTCTTTGCATGGCCAGCACACGTGCCGGAGACCATTGCTATGGCAACGCTACATCTGTGCTTCCCGTTCCGGAACGCACTGGGCGTCGCTTCTCGCCAGCCAGCACTCGGGAGTATCTGCAGCAGCCTCTCCTTCCTAGGGGGGGGGGGG